AGACACGATTTCACCAGCAGATCGAAGACGAACGGCGCAGAGCCACATTGATTGTAGTTACAGTCTTTTGTGGAAGAAAGGGAAGAAGTCATCGATAGAAGCAGAAGAGCTATTTGGTGCAGATTTTCGGTGAATTTCATACTTATGGATGTTCAATCAGTTAGAGAATTGGAACCATCAAAGAAACGAAAGGGGGGGGGAGACATTCATTTAGTTGAGGGTTCTCCGGCTTGATGGGTCGACAAAATTAAACAGAAAGGATAAAAAAAACATAAGCCCAATATTAAGTGTGTGAAGTGGCAAAAAATTGATCTCCTAATGGCCAATTAATTATTAATGGCCAATTATTTATAATCAATTGGCAGCCTCTCTATTGAGTATAATTGGCTTTGGCTCTCGGAGCATGTGCATTGAAGGTACAACAAGAAGTTTAATAGAAAGCTCTCACACTTCCCAAAGAAAGATTCTCCAAAAAAGTGATGAACTCGTTATGTCAAAGCTCTCCCGGGTGAACTCGGTTCACAACTATTTTGCGGGTCTCATACCACGTGGCAGCCCGCGACTGATCCACTTATTTAAAAAGAAAAAATTAAAAGAAAAAAAAAATAAAAAAAAAATTGTGAACCTCATGGTTTTGCTCTTAGTAGTGTATGATGATAACCTTTGCTTTTTTTATTTTATTTTTTTTGCACAAGAATAACCTTATCCTCTTCCTTCTTTTCGTCCTCTCTCATCAGCATTCAGCTGCCATGGCTTCTTCTACTCTCTTCAAGTTCCACTCAAAAACCTTCAAAGCCCCAAACCCATCACCTCCTTCCTCAAACCATCTTACGTCCAGAATCTCGAATCTTCATTTCCCTAAATCACTCTTACACCATTCACGACAGCTCAACAAAACATCCACCACCAGAACTCGTTTCTTGGTTCCTCTCTGTTCCTCTCTCCCTTCTCCTCCCATCTCCAAAGAAGAAGCCATTCTCCAAGCCAAGACTTGTCTCTCTTCTTGCCTCACCAAACCCCTCAACAACCCCAAGCTCGCTTCCCCCAAGCTCAAGAAACTCAAACAGCCACGGTTCCGTCTCGAGATCCCGATCCTCGACGACGACTCACCTTCCTCCCTCTCTCAGCTCGCG